TATATATATATATCTATAGCCCACCTATGTGATAGCAATTAAGGTAAAAAAAAAAACAAATTAAATAAAATAAATCTAAAAATATTTTTTTTTTTAAATGTAAAGTCCCCCGGTGTCGCCCTATAAAACACAAGTCGGGTGCACCTATGTATGAAAATGACAAATGCGCTACACATGTTGGGTATCGCGGCGCATGCCGGAGCGAGAGCAAAAATTCTAGGGCCAGTATTTTTGGGTATCTCTAAATCGATGACCTGTGGGAGCTTTTAAAGCGTCGTCTATGGACTTTTTTGGGTACTGAAGTTTGTTGATGTTATAATCTCATCTTTTATATTTTACTTTAAAATAATCGATATCTTATTGTGTTTTGGGGCATTTAAGTACATTTTCCACTAGATTTGGGGGTTTGATAAGGAGTTGCACTAATATCGTGCAACATAAAAATGTGCAACTGCCACCATTTTATTCTATAGGGTCTTGGCTTTCAGAAACTATATAATGTTGGGGGGTTTTAAGTAATTTTCACGCCTAAAGATTTGGAATATAATATGGGTGCAAAAAAATGAAGAAAAAAAGGCCTCAGTCATGAAGGGGTTAAACACCCCTCATACTGCCTTACAACTATTAGGGCTTGGTCTTAGCTGTGCAAAATAGGGATTTTTATGGAAGGTCAGAGTCACACCTTTGTGTTCAAGTAATGCACAATAAAAAGTGTGTTTTATTGCATGTTATCGCAAGAAACCATCATGCAGTGCCGTTTACTTGGAATGGAACCTCATTCAGGGAGGTGTGGTGAGGTCAATGGCAAGGGAGACCTACTACCTCCCCTTCTGGCAGAGTGGTCCCCGGCGCTGTGACTCACAGCCTGTAAGGTAGGAGGGGAAACCGCTCTGCCTGTGGGGTGGGGGAACAGGAAAGGAGGAGACAGGAAGAAGCTCCCCTGTCCCACACTTGCTCGTCACGGATGAGGAATCCAGATAGATGCCGTCAGGGTTTTCTTTTTTTGATTGGTCCAAACCATCCACAGAGCTCAAGCCTCTGATTCCAAGTCAGAGGCATATTGTAACTCAAACCTCACTGTGTTAGATTACACACAGCAGCAGGGAAGCTGTGAAAAGCCAGATGAAGCGCTGCTAGTGATTAACAGGCGGCACTCCATCTATGACAGGTTACATAAAAAGGCATAAAGGTTACATAAAAAGGAGAAAAAGCTGTCAGCTTCAGATTGGAAGCCTAGTTTTTTTTCTTCCATAATGGCAGGTGAGGCTCCGTTTCACCTGCCTCCCTCACCCCTTTACACAACAGATCTGTGCTTCAGCTTACCGCAAGGCACATACGTGAACGATGTGTGTGCTTGTATTGTGCAAGTGTTGCAAAAAAAAGTGCAGGTGTGTTAAAACATGTGTAAACATATTCAACACACGTTAAAGCATGAACATGCACCAGCAAGCTGACTGGCAACAGAGCTACCCAATCAGCCATCATTGCTTGGATTGAGGATTTATACTACTTGCTTTTCCTTTGTTCGGTTATAGATGTCTGAAGAGCTGAAATAAGGCTCAATTGTAAGTATGACTGGACAATCTGCATTTTGCCCATCAAAGCGATTACCTATGCCATGGACGGGACATAAGGAATTGAATATCTTCACTTGACTTGCATATCTTGGCTTGAGGGGAATTTATCAAAACTGGAGCAGACAGAATCCGGAGCAGAATCAGCTTCTATCTTTCATTTTTAAAGCTCAACTAAATAAATTGAAGAGAGAAACTGATTGGTTACTAGGGGCAACTGTTCCAGACTGTCTTGTAAAGTCTTGATAAATCTGCCCTCTTGTGTTTAAAAGCTGTACGCCAGCCTTACCTTCAGTCTTGCACACTTGTACAGTCTCCTTTCCTGTACTAAAATTGCTTACACTGATTTTAATGCACACTGTCAGCTTCTCACAGTGTGCATTACAGCTGCAGAAAGTCAGAGAGCCTGGCTCATTTCCCAACTGGGTGACATTCAGCATCATTTAGCCAATCCCTTACCACCTGCCTATCCCTTTCCTGCCCTTTCATTAATTGGATTTCAGTTCTTTCAATCATTTAGGCTCAGAATCACATGTGGGCAAATGCCTAAGAACGCCCACTCCTCCAGACTGACATCCACCCATCAAGTCTTTTCGATATTTGAATAACTCCTGTTAAGAACCAGCCCACTGCTAGCATTAGGACTAAGGGCTCTTGAATAAAGAACTGAGGCAGGGTGCTGTGATGTTTTCAGCAAGTCATGTACAGCACCCTGCTGGCCCCTTCCACTAGCCATATTCTATCTGCATTGCATAGACCAGTGATGTCATCACTTGGTCTAAAATAAAGTATGTGATAGAAACAAAAAGGTTTTATTGAAAGCGAAAATATAAGCAGATTAATCTTTAGCTTTAAAAGGAGAACTATGAGGTGAGTGCTTTTCACTCACCTCATAGTTCTAGCCGACCTGTGACAATGAGACTGTCACTGGTCGGCTCAGTAGATCGGGAAGGGAGTGAACACATACCGGCGTTTGCTCACTTCTCGATCCTGTCACGGCTCTCCGCCGTGACAGGGGAGGGGCTGGATTCCCCCCTCCGATCCTCCAGCGCTGACTGGCGGAACGGACGGGGGAGGGTACAGCTGGCTCTGCCTCTAGATAGGCAGAGCCAGCTGTCACTCAGGCAGCTGGGCGGATCCAGACAATTGTCGGGATCCGCTTCAGCGTCTCAGTATACCGCGAGCTGTAGCTCGCGGTATACTGAGCTTAGGGTGACGGGAGGACGCTAGTTTGTGTCCTCCCATTACCTTAGGGAGAACTATGGGGAAAAGCACTAACCCCATAGTTCTCCTTTAAAGTAGATGTAAACTCAATAATTAAAATGTCATATCTTTGAAATGTTAATGTTAAAAGTTATCCAGTCCTTTAAATCTGCAGCATTTATAAACAATAAATACCAGGTTCTCTGTCCATGAGGATCCTTGTTCAAGCCCTTTCTGTTGTAGGGTAACAGTGCTCTGTTCCTGTGTCCCAACTATGTTTTTACATTGTCACCCTGTCATTTGTGCCCCTGGTGCAGACTATATGTGACCATGGCCTACAAAATTATGCAGTCAGTCCACCCATGACATGCAGCTGCACCTGGAACTAGTGCATGTAGACAGTAAGGCTCCATTCACACCCTATATTTTAGGAGTGATTAAGGATTCCTGCATCAGGAACTTGTGATTTTCCGCAGCAGGAATCCCTAATCTGCCATTTACAAGCAGCATCTGTCACCCATTCAAGTTAATGATCGGGTGACAGCCGCTGCATTTGAACGCCGGCACACAGGAAACAATCACTCTGCAAGTTCCTGAAGCAGGAATCCCTAACAGCAGGTTCACACCATTTTACTACCAGATCTGGTCCCAAAAAAATGGTATGAACCTGCCCGCAGTTCCAGTGCATTCCAGACCAGACAAAATGAGACCTGCAGTATTGTTCTGGTCTGGAACGGATTGCGATGGTGTGAACAGAGGCAAGAAATAGCATAGAGATACATTAGGATGCATTTTGGGTCCGGAAACAATCTGGTCTGGTTTAGTGATGATCTGGATGTGGTGTAAATGTGCCATAATGGTACCTAAAATATAGGTGTGAATGGAGCCTAAGTCACTGCAAAGAAGCTCAGTAACACAGAGATACAAAAAAGAAAAAAGGTGAAAACAGCATTTTTAGGAAAGAAAATATGGCAATTGTTTATGATGCAAAGTGCCTTAGAAAACAAAATGTCACCCAGATAGAACTTACATCTACTGAAAGTAATTGTGTACTTCACAATTTTTAGAGTGGGTGGGATCTGTACCGCAAAGCTAGATCAAGCCATTCACTTGTCAGATGGGCTGAACCATCATATCAGAGGAAGCTTAAGACAATGTGGCACAGTTATGAACAAGCCCACACACATTGGGTTTATGGAAATACTGTGAACAACCCAATTCATTCTAAACATATGGTTTACTTGTGACATAGCCTAATGTAATGTCAGGTTTATGACTTAATCAAACACTGGGAAGTCGTTATTTTTCGCCACCACACAGCGATCTTTGTATTTCTCAGCTGGGACAGTCAACAGAACAACAGAAAATGGCACGCATCATTTAGCTGGTAAATATAGCTTTAGAAAATGACAGCTTTGGAAACCGATCTGGTGATCATCACTGACATTAGAAAGAGTGTTTAAAAATGGAAAAGCAGAAATATTACCTCTCCTTCGCCCATATGTCCTTGCTGCATGTCAGAGAAAGAAAAGAGCCTTTCAGACAATGTCATCATGATTAGGAAATCTAATTACATCCTCTGTACAGTATCTCATTTACTGACATCTCTGAACTGAAGGCCTAGAATTTACAATGCTACATGCTCACACGTTATTACTGCCTCTGAACATTTTTAGCAAAAGAAAAAAAAAAACAGGAACAGTCAAGACATTGCAGTTTATGTAATCAGTCATTACCAGAACTACACGCATGCAATTCACAACACATGCCAACTGATAACGGGGGAAAATGAACTGCACATGAATGTGTACAATGTGTCAAGTGATCACAGACAAATGTAGATAAAAGATACTGGCATTTCCCCTGAATAGTAGGTGCACCTACACTAAATGTATGTTACCCACAAATAGGATTGGAATGTTTAACCCTTATAAGAAAACATATGAAAATGACCTTTGACTGGAGGTGTGAATTGCTGCCTTTTCATCACCTCAACTGTTAGGACCCGTTCACACCTAGGAGTATTTTTGCAGCTGATTTAGCGTGACAGAGCGTTCAACCCCAGGAATTCCATTCTTTTCTGTGGCCCGTTCCTTTGTGTTTTGTCGCAAGCAGAAAAACGCCCGTCACGCAAACTAGTACATGAGCTAATCAGGGGCAGATTTCAGCGCGTTTTGTCCCTACAGACTCAATAGAAAATGCACAATGTGAGGTGTCGCTTAAGTGTGAATGCAGCCTTACTGCTGGCTACACTGGGAGCCCCTACAATATGCAAATTCAAGCTTTGAGAAATGTCAGCACTGAAACTCATTCTCCTCACTCACTATGCAATGTGGAACATTCCTCTAATACACTGCCAAGGCCCCTCCTTGCATTATGGAAAGCAAAAGGGCTGTGCCTGAGCATTGACTTGTTGAAGTTGAAATGTACTTGCTGTAGGCAACTGGGCTTCAGGGCCTCATAGGGCATCATGATATGAAGGGCACTTTCCAGCACCCAGTGGTACCTTCCCTTCCTTTCATTGGTTGGACTACTTTGGGGTAGTGAAAGGTTTACTTTCAGCACCTGTTCAAACTCCTGCTTGCAGGTTGAGGATAGATTTTAGATGCACAGGCCGCAGCATGGTGTAATACTTTAACTTGTGCTAGAGCATTATCTGTATTTTCCCCTTTTTACAAAACATTACTGCGGTTATTTCTGTGTTGGGTACATTAACCTCCCTGGCGGTCCGATTTATCTCAGTATTTATTATCTATTTTATTTTTTACTTTTGAAGTTCCTGCCAGTTCCGCCCCCCTGCGACGTGGGCACTCGCAAGGGAAGGAACCTGGAAGACGGATGCCGGCATCGGCCGAAGCGGGGATCGTAGGGACAAGGTAAGCGACGCTACAGTGTAATCCAGAGTCTGGCTAGGGGTTACCGCTTTTGGTACTGGAAATTAACCCCGAGCCACACTCGGGATTACCGCTAGGGAGGTTAACATGTATAGACATAAATTATGTCTTTTTCTGCATTACAATGTACCAGAAAAAGGAAGAAAACAAAAACACAACCACTGTATTGCAATGCAGTAGTATGAGCTACCTCTACTCACTTCATTTTATCTAGTAGGTTTACCTGCAGTGGAGGAATGTGTTCCTCTACAGGAAACCATAGAAGTCTATACAGGTCCAGAAAAAGTAGACTGCTTTATGGGAAAGAGGTTTCATGAACACACAGATGACGACGCAATTATTTCAAATGATCAGAACAAAACATATGTAATAAGGTCGTACTGTGGACAGCAATATGCTGAAATTGTTGATGTTCTGTCTAGTAATAGTTTAGAAGAAAGTCAACAACGCTTTGCGTTGCCCAAGATGGCAGCAAATGGCATAATAAGCCGCACAATTGTCTGGGCACTTTAAGGGGTTAATTCCACCTTTCATGTCACACCACTATTTTGGCTGAAACCCTGCAGCATCTTGTCTATATTGTGCATGGCTTAGCACAGCCTTCATTTACTCACCGATTGGTTACACTCCGTTCATTGAAGGACATAGGGAACAAATCGTAGACCATGTACCGTAGGGTATATCGCCCCCTACGGTACATGATCTATGATCTGTTCCATGTGTCCTTCAATGAACGGAAGAGAAAGTATAAAAATGAAGTTAGTATCGACTTTTGTTTTACCGCCCTACACAGTTCCACAAAAGATTTAAATCTCTGATTTTTATTAAATTTATTATTTCAAATTTGACTATAAGCTCTAATTTCTACAATGAGCAATGGACCACCTACAAGAGTAGGTCAATGAGAATTCTGGAAAATCATATCTACTGGCTAAGTATTGTTACCACGACTACAAGGATAATTGTTTCTATATTTTTGTCAGAGGACATTATAGCTGGTTGAAGGCTGAAATAGAAAGGTATTTTTTAATCTATCAAAATTACTAAATGGCTTTGTGTAGCATTATGTTACATCACTTTTAATGAAACGAAGGTTTGCGTGCCTAAATCACCTTTTCATTTCTCAGGCTGAAGAAAAATATATGTGGTTGACACAGCACACTTATCTAATCTAAGTGCTCACTATTGTTCTTTTCTTAAAGTGGTTTCTCAACTTTGCAAATAACACACTCTCCTTGAATCACAGGTTGGATATAAATGGTCACTCTGCATCCAGGTCTCTGGAGAAGTCTCCGCTTCTTTCCTGTGCTGAACAAATCAGCCATGTAGGGTGTTCGACTAGCCTGTTTGACAATTTGTGGAAAGAAAAAGGAGTGTGAGGCGGCTCAACTAGTAAAATTATTACAGGCTATGTAGTTCTATTCCAAATATAGGACTGGACAATCTCATTCTGCCTGTAGAACTTCATTTTAAACACGATCAGCAAGGCATAAAAAAAAAAACCACGTGTTTGTAATACTTCCTATACAGAAACCAGTAGAAAGGTTTGTAAAATCCTTGCAAATATATAAACCTATTGGTTAGCAGCTAAACTATACCTATACTACAAGCATATGAAGCAATTTACCAATATATACATATGGTAGAGCTCATATTGGTAATTTAAGAGCCACATATGAATGTGCATATAGTAGCTGGATGTAATTTACAAATAGCAACCAAAACGTTTACAGCTAGCTAAGTCCCTGTAATGGCAGGTGTACCACTGACAGGCAGTGCTATATTCGAGTAAAGGATGCGCATTACACTAACCACAGAGGAAACCGTAGATTACATATTCCTAGAGTTCTTCATGAAAAAGTGCTAGAGCTGCCACATGAGGGGTGTGCCATAGTTTGCAAATACTGACAATACTGGGAATTGTGAATAGCTGACTTTTTGAAGGCCGTACTGAGGACATGTATTGTGGAGGAACAATGCTAAAGCTTAAAGTGACCCTTTACCCCCTTTCACTAAAATCACATCTGCATACAGCTCTGCATGCCGATTTAAAATCATCTAACATTCATTAAACAAACTTGTTTTTTTATTTACTTACAAATCGAGTTAATCTACTTCCTGGTCCAGTTCTGGCACAAATTATGTAATGTGCCAAAGTGTTGCACTCTGGGAAGGTTGTATCAGCAGAGCATTGCTGGGAAATCTCATCTGTAATCTCATGAGATCTCAGGGAAAGGCATTTTCCTCCCTTGAGATGTGTATGGTCACATGTCACAAGTAAAAGGGAGAGCTAGTAACCTGCCCTTAGTTAACATGGCCACTGTCAGAAGACAGGGGAAAAGAGAAATAAGGTATGCAACGAATACAAAGCCTGCAGTTATCTAGATGTATGCGTTTGTAGATAGTCATCAGTAAACATTTCTAAAAAGGTGTGTTTGTTGTTATTGTAAAGATATGGGTAAAAGGTCCGCTTTAAGTGTAGGCTCTTGAAGGACACAGGTTGAGAGGGTAGGTTTATATCACAGAATTGCTGCAACTACCAGTTTACAAAGCATATTGTACAATACGGTGTAATGTCAACATGATAGGGTTTCTGTCTCAGAGTGTGTGCTTTGGAGAAGTCAAAATGTGCTGACAAATCACTCTGTTTACAGACAGGAAATAATATGAGCACACACAGCATTCCCAGTTTGTTCCATGTCAGAAGGTGCAGCCTGCATGACCTCCTGAGCAAAAAGGGTGACAAAAGCACAGCATTTATTCAATGCTGAAAACACATCCTCACTCCATTCACTTTCTGCCTGAACGTCCTTTTCAGATCTTGGTAATGTAATTTTAAAAGGAAGACAAAACCAGATTACTTCCATTGGTAACAGATTAAGGCCCAGTGCACGCTGATCAGGTTCCTTGTCCAACTTAAATCGCACCCTCCAACGGGGAAGGAAAATACAGGTTTACTTTGAGGTCTACTCTACAGGTTTACTCTCATCAGGTATTTGCAGAAGATATAATATGGCAGCCCTATGCATATGAATAAGAGGCACTTCCAAGTACCTGCATGCCTTATATGATCCCATGTACAGCAACCCTATGCCCCCTAAAACTCAAGTATCAAGGATCAAGTATGGAAAAACATGCTTTCTAGTATAGAGCTGTAGCCTAGCTCCCTACAACCACTTGCACCCATTACAATGATGAGCCAATAATAAAAATCAGGCACTGAAGGTACCCGTTATTGATAAGTAAGGCTATGATTCGCACAATAGGTTTTGCTCCACAGCCTTCAAATCAGTTCTGCAACGATCAGTAACAGCTGTAGAAAGCAAGTCTAAAGGTGCCCATACACCTGCCGATAATCGTACGATAATCGCAGGTGATCCCGCGATCGTACGATAATCGGCAGCGTGCGACCGTTTCTATTGTACGGCCGCACATCTTTTGTCTTCCAAGCACGCTGGAAAACCTGCTGAAAATCGTAAGTTTTTCGGCGGGTTAGTGGTGTAAATGCCGACGAACAGGCATGTAAGCGCACACTGCCCGCTCAGCATTGGAATCATCGGAACCCCTCCCCTCAGCGGGGAGGGTTTGTGATGATCGCAAGTACGATCTGCCTGTCCAAGATGGGCAGATCGTACGAGATTTTAATTACCTTACAACCATCACACAACGAACGTCGTGTGATGGTTGTAAGGAGTATGGGCACCTTAAATCTGGTGTTTTGGAAGGAATGCAACATAGAACAGATCTTACCAAGACCAATGATAAATAAGGCTAATAGTTTATGGGCATTTACCAAGTTAACTTGATGGTAGCTGTAATTGTTCTGCCAAAGGCAATAACAATACTGCAAAATTGGTTACTATGGAAACTTTTCAGGTATATCCGGTTTTCTGATTGAAAATGAGAACACTTGTGTTTGACAGCAACAGCTTAGATTTTTGTATTTCCCATAGTTTACAATAACTGTTAATGAGCTGTTTATCGCATTTTACATTCAGTGGTGGAACATCCATTTGGCTCTAAACGCTAATTTGTCAAAGTGCCACATACTGCCAATCTCTCAACCCACACTGGAACGTCTTCCTAATTCACATAGTTTATCCTTAGTGAATCTGCCATCAAACATACAACTGCATCATTGTAAGAAGGCTGAAAACTGTAGTTATGTACATTTACAAAAAGGTCTTCTTACTCTACGTCTGTCCGCTGGATGTGCAGAGCGGACATTTACAGTAGTTGTCTCTCATTAAAGGAGAACTATGAGATGAGTGATTTCCACTCACCTCATAGTTCTAGCCGACCTGTGACAATGAGACTGGCACAGGTCGGCTCAGTAGATCGGGAGGTGAGCGAACACATACCGGGTTCGCTCACCTCTCGATCCTGTCACGGCTCTCTGCCATGACAGGGGGAGGGGCTGGATTCCCCTCTCCCCGCTCCGATCTGCCAGCGCTGACTGGCGGAACGGACGGGGGAGCGGGTACAGCTGGCTCTGTCTCTAGATAGGCAGAGCCAGCTGTCACTCACGCAGCTGGGCGGATCCCTTCATCTACGTCGGGATCCGCTCCGGCGTCTCAGTATACCGCGAGCTGTAGCTCACGGTATACTGAGCTTAGGGTGACGGGAGGACGCTAGTTTGTGTCCTCCCGTTACCCTAAGGAGAACTATGGGGAAAAACACTGACCCCATAGTTCTCCTTTAAAGACAGGTGCCAGAGCCACGGATGAAAATACTGTTTGCCGAGACAACCTCCATTCCCAGTGGTCGGCAATCAGCAGCAGCCAGGCAGTCAGTACCGGGTCTCTCGCTGCCAACCTCTTGACAAGGAGTACACTGTATGCACAACCTTCTTACTGTATTGCAGACAGAAGGAACATTAGAAAAATTACAAAGCGCACCAGAGGTGGCTGCCTATGCCGGGCCCAGCCCTGCAGTCAATGGTCTTTTATATTTATTTTGGACACCATAGCCAAAGACCATCTACTATACTCTTCATTTTTATAATACATCCTTAACAACAACTTACTCTATTTTTTTCCCAACATCAGGCATCTTTATTTCTACCTAAAAAGTAACAGCAGCACAAGTCCAATATTAAACTGCTTGCGTATAGGAATACAAATGCTTAGGAACACGCAATCCCCAGTTGAACACATTTTAGATATATCATGAGCAAGTAAGGTATACTTGGTTGGACATTACATTCTATTTATGGACCCCAATGCACATTGCCAATCAGAATTTTGTGTCATCTGATCATCAATATTTGTAAAATGAGGATTGGTGGTTTATGGAAGAACACCATCCAAATAAAATCTTAACCTGGGGCTACTCCCACACTGCTAATTTTGCATAGGGAGCTAAAATAACAGTTATACTGACCAGAACCGCAACCATGGCTTGCTCCTAGACTAGTCTCTCCAACCTTGCTCACCCTCCTCTCCAGTGGTCTAAGGTCCAGTAAGTCATCATGTTCTATGCAGTGTATTGGATGTGAGGATGCTGAGGGACACTTCATCGTTGGAGCGGAGTAGGCGACAGGCTCAAGGGACCAGTCTAGGAGCCAGCCAGGATCACGGTTTGGGTCGAGTGCAACTCTTATTTTACTGGTCTAACTTTTACAGTGCAAGGGCAGTTCCACTGCAAAGATTAAGATTTAATTGCCCGGAGTTATACTTTAGCCAGTGGTAATAGTCCATGACGGCAGGGATAAAACCCATGCAACAAGTATATCAGAAGTCTTGTGAAACTAAGGTAGTGCCAACAGGGGCACCCACTGTGTGAATCTGACGATTCTTGATGAACCGGCCAAAATTTGTACAGTGCATAGCCAGCTTTAGTGATGTCTGCCACATACAAATGCTGTTTTAACACCTCTCTCTGGGCAGGTTATTAAAAGGAGAACTATGGGGTTAGGGCTTTTCCCCATAGTTCTCCTAAGGGTAACGAGAGGACACAAACTAGCGTCCTCCCGTCACCCTAAGCTCAGTATACCGCGAGCTGTACTGAGATGCCGCAGCCGGAATGGATCCCGACAATTCTGTCTGGATCCACCCAGCTGCGTGACAGTTGGTTTTGCCTATCTAGAGGCAGAGCCAGCTGTACCCGCCCTTCCCCCTCCGCCAGTCAGCGCTGGATGATCGGAAAGGGGAGAATCCATGCGGGGAGCTGTGAGTGACAGTCACGGCTCTCTGCACGGATAGATCGAGAAGTGAGCGAGTGCTGGTATGTGTTCGCTCACTTCCCGATCTACCGAGCCGACCTGTGACAGTTTTATTGTCACAGGTCGGCTCAGATTATGAGGCTGAGTGATTTTCACTCATCTCATAGTTCTCCTTTAACACCTCCTAGCTCCAATTATGCAGATGCAATCAACACCTGGTTGCGACTAACAGATTATGTGGATTGGAGCAACATTCACCATATTTATTCCCAGATAATTTTTGTACAAGTCATTCTGAATTGAGAAAGCTGGTTGGATGACCAGTGGAACGTCTTCAAGAAAAATACAGCAAGTCCAGTTCCCTTTACTTATTTTTTACAGATAAGTGTCCCCAGATAAGTGTGAAATGCTGAAGAGACTAGCAGAGACTGTAGCGCTGGAATGGAGGGGGAGGTAGGAGAAAAGGGACACCAAACAGGTGAGCAGCAAACTTTTAGCTGCGTCTTTAAAGAACCCAACAGGGTCACTATTACAGGAACAAAAAAATATGTGGTTACTTAAAGCACACTAGAGTTATTTTTTCCAAGTAAGGTGAATTTGTTTTACTTTGAGCTGTGGAATGCCTTATTTTGAAGGTTAAAATCTGTTAGAGCGGCTGTAAGTGCACAAACAAAAATATTCTCGGAACACAATTTGAATTCTGGCCAGAGATTTTAGATTTATAAAAGAGTTTTATTATCTAGTGTTGCTCTTTACACAGTTTTTAGTGATTATCAATAATTAGGCTCATATCCTGCTAGTAATATCTCCTGTGAAAATCAACACTCACAGGGTATTGGGTGGGGAGACTGCAGAATACACTGCATTTTATTGAGACAAACAAGTCACACCAAAAAAAAGCATATTTTATGTGATTTGCTCTGGAATCAAATCCCGTGCCTCCTGTTTATTCTGTTAAACAGCATTATAAAACTTTACATCTGCTTTTCTTTTTCACAGATCTGTTAACCTACCGTATATACTCGAGTATAAGCCGTCCCGAATATAAGCCGAGGTACCTAATTTTAGCAAAAAAAACTGGGAAAAAGTATTGACCCGAATATAAGCCGAGGGTGATTCTGTATAAACACTAACCGAATGACATTTCTGCTGGCAATACATCTGCAAGATATCGTTTGAAAGAAAAAAAAAAGTTTTCTGAAACTTAGTTCAATTACTTAATAGTCTGGTGAAATCAGCAATTGTTTTGGACCGTAGTGACGGGGGAAAGAGAATTAAAGAAGTAGGATGGAAAATTTTTCTTAAACTAAATTCTAAGAGTGAATATGGTTTTTGTTCAAGAAGTTCCATTCATTTCCAAAACAATTTTAAAACCACATTTTCAAACGGTATTTGTCAAATCTCTGATGGCATTATGTATGCCCATACGAAAAATCTCATCAGAATATTTAATATGAAAATCTACCAGCATATGACCAGATTTAGTGTGCTAAAGCACTGTGGAGGAAATTTATCAAAACTGTAGCAGTTGCCCATGGCACCCAATCAGCATCTCTCTTCAGTTTGCTCAGTTGGAATTGTAAAATGAGAGATAGAAGCCGATTGGTTGCTCCACAAATGGTACTTTACACCCCAGAGGTTGGCAGGAGCTTTCCCTTCTTCCTCTCTATTGGCGGGAATGCGGCTTGGTGGGCTCACTACCTCACATTTGGTGGTCATGTTCCTCACTCCAGTCATTTTGGGATGCAATCTCCATCCTCAAAACTGTCATCACCCAAGTTCAACATGCTCTATCCCCACAATTAGCTCTACTGGGCGCTCATAGGCTTAGATTGAAGATTGGCCCAAGACATCTCGTACAGTAGTATCTCATGTTCTCATCGATGCTCGTCTTGCCATAGAAGCTGATTGGTTACAATGCAAATTTGCTCCAGATTGTGTCTGCTACAGTTTTGATAAATCCCCGTGTGTCATTAAAAAAAAAAAAAAATCACCTCTACGGAATCTCAGCGCTGCTGATCTCCTGATGCTTTCCTGTCTACATACATGCACTGCAGTGAGAGGTGCATGGCATTTTTCTGACAGAATTTCCTGATGGTGACAACAGTGGACCACGTCTATCCAATGAGTGTTGCAATGGACACTTGTAGCCACCATAAGAAGTAAAATAGGGTGACAATGCAGGAGCACAATAGGGAGACAGGGACAGAATGTTGTCACCCAACAGGAAGTGCTTGAGCAAGGCACTTAATTGCAGGATCACTGTTTTAATAAACAGCTACAAGTATTAAAAATTAGTTTTGAAATTCTGTTAAAGCAGAAATATTGGGAGAGAAAAATATACTCCAGCCAATAGTTTGAGCTGGTGTGTGACACTGCATCTGTCACATGCCGGTTTTACAAACCGATGATGGCTCAGCTCATGTATTATCACTGCAGAGAGCGGTGCTGTCAGTCATCACTCCCTGCAGGGATTCCCACCTCTCCTCTCTGCTCCTCTACCACTCATTGGAGGAACAGACAAGGGAAGGGGCGGGCACAGCAGGCTCTAGCACTATAGGCAGGTGTCAATCAGGCAATGGGGTGGATCCTAACAATATTGTCGGGATCCTTCCCAACTGCAGTGCGGCTTTGCGCTGTCAGAATATAGCAAGCTATATGCTGACTTTCGGTCACAGGAGTACACTACTAAATGTACCCAAAAGTGAACTAAATCCCCCCAAAAAGTTGACTATAGTTCTTTTATGATGTACAAACGTACAGATGTTAGTGACTGGGTTTACATATACTTTAAGGCCTGGAATTAGTTGTGCCAACACTGAAAGTTTTTATATTCAACATAATCCGATTGACAGGAGCAGGGCTTGGTGCAAACACTGCACGTGTGAAAGGTTAATTATCTTCTTCGTGAGGAATGGCTACTTTTTACAGTTTATTTAAAATACTTTTTTTTCTGGGGTTCACATTTAATAGACAGAAAACACAAAATAAATATCCATCCAGAGCACAAATGACAAAAGGATAAAAGTAATCTGAAGTCGCCTTACAAGATGAAAATAAACTGGCAGTGACAAAACTAAAGCCAGTCTTGGTTTGGCTATTCTTGGCAGTCATGTGAAAGCAGTTTTTGTCCTCTGTCCGAGGACATTACTTCTATGTGGCAATTAAAATTCGTTGCACAATGAAAGCCTAGTTGTCCTTCTGATTTATCTCAAAGGTTTGCAAACAGGCTCTCAGTGTAAACCATATGGGTCAAAGGTTTCATCCTGGGCAGATATGAGAAAGAACGAAAGTGAATACATTTCTGGGGAAACAAAATTGTAATCCCTGACCACACTGTATATTGTGAAAAGTGTGTGGTCAACAGACAACTGTGCTGGGTCTACAGGTGAACTTTCTTATAACAGATTGCGAAAATCTCCTTTTCAGTCTATAGAACAGTTTGCCATCTTGTAAACACTTCGGCTATAAAAACTGAGGCCAAAAACATGACGACATCTGCCAGGGAATCTGTGATTATTGATGACAAAAAAAGCAAAGTGTAAAAAGGACATTTCATTATCAACACAGTAAAAAAAAAATAAAAAAAATTCCCACTTGCAAGTAACCAACTTTAGCTATTGACTTGTTTATGCAGGGCAAAAAAAAAAAGCAGACCTGGAAAGGGCCCCATTATTTTAAACGGGGCTTCTAGATTCTGAAGGGATCCCACCAACGCAGACACCTACATTCACCAGGCCAAGCATGTTGATAAAAGGGCCCTTGTCCACATTAACATGGGCACAGGTTGTCTTACATGGTACCCACCTGAATGGTATTCTTTTTTATTTTGTATTGGTACAGCTACATTTTCCCTTTAACGAAATCTTGCTATTTGGACTTGAAAAAGGCCAGAAAAAAAACATTTGGCTCCTATAGACTTTAAAATGGTTCACCGCTATATTGTAGGTTTATACATGTTCTGCTGGGTTCAGGGAACGTCCAGCGAAGTAAACTAGATTGGCTCATCAGTAGTGAAGATGATTTATTTTTTAAATGGCTGTTCCATAGCAACCCTTTTCTAGTCTGTGCAACTTCACTCACTGCAGGGGTTTCATGCAGAAGATCCCTGTATATGTATCCTCTACCCATGCCAACCACCTCAGAATTCAGTTTTTGGTTTCCTGGTCGATATAAACCAAATATTTTAAATCTTATGACAGAATTGTATTCAACTATAAATGCCTTGATAATGTAAATGGGAGAGGGGTGGGGGTGGGGAGGGCAGGATAACCTGCTATGTGCAATAATCACAGCACTTCCTTGTTCTATTTATGATGATGATCCTTAACGTGCACCTCTGCCCAGACTATGATCATAGCCCAGACATGATCAATATACTAATTTATGTATTTCTTAACTGGCAGTAAACTAGCTTTAAAACAAACCAGCCCTGACCTCTCCAGCTGCTTTCAATGTACTGATTTATTCTAGGATCCTCAAACATCACAATAAAAAACTCTAGAGCAGGGTTTCTCAACTGGGGTTCCATGGAACACAGATTCTGCAAGCGGTCCCCAGGGGTTCTGCCGCTGATGTAGCGGATTTACTGTATTTCTGCCCAAAAGTGGTCTAACTTTTCCCTCTGCAGCTAATGCCAAGTGATATCAGGTTGACGGGTACACTTGAAGCCAAGTGTCTGGGGGTCCCTGGTTCGAATCTCGGCCAGGTCACTATCAGCAACGAGTTTGCATGTACTCACTGTGCGTGCTTGGGTGTCCTCCAAATACTTCAAAGACATGCTGGAAGGTGTATCGGCCCCTGTATAATTAGGTATGCGTGTGAGATAGTGACCTTCGATTGTAAGCTCCTTGAGGGCAGGGACTGATGTGAATGTGCACTGCGTAAATTGTCGGCGCTATATAAAATATCAATAATAAATAAGTGTCCCTACTGGCCTGATAACCAACCGCTGAGTCTCTGTTCACACCCTTCGCAGCTTGTGTGGTCTCTGGCACACATGCAATGGGAACAACATTCCTGTGCATACCCAAGCAGAAGGGAGAACAAGGATGTAGAGCACAGCCAGGTGGTTGCGTAGGTCTCCTGTGACAGATAAGGGGATGCTAGCAGAAGGGGGAATGACAGAAGGGGGAATGGCAAAGGCATGGAGGTTCTCAATTAGGCAGCCTGCAGCCCCGTGCTCATCCATTAAAATGTTTTCACTGAGCGCCAGTGCAAAGTAAAAAAAAATAAAAAAGGAATGTTGCCACTTCGCACCAATGCAAAGTCTGTGCTTTTTGTAAAGCTGTCATTTATTGGTGTTTACATAAGAAAGTTGTCAGGCTGCCAGCATCTGTTAGCAAAAAATGCTAAGATTCCAACGCCTGTGTTGTGAACGCTGAAAATTATTTTTCACTACAATGCTTGTAGATACAGAGATGAATGAGAGCTTGTTGTAAAGTTTTACTGTTTGTTCAGAATATGTAAAAAACATTGGTGTGCATGGTCTGGGCACAGGTTCACTTTTAGAATAATCTATGTGGTCATAGGATGCTGCTGGTATTTACCCAAATCTAACAAAACACCGGACTATACAATGTTTGAATTTCGGCCGTGTCAGCAGTGTATGGCCCCTCTGGAGCCTCTGTTAGACAATAGTCAATTTTTCAATCACGTGTATGGCCAGCGTAAGGGTATCCAGGAAGATTACAAGCTGAGCGGTTACTGCTGCTTAAGAGAAGAAGGTCTGAGAATCCCTGTGATATGTTGCTTGTTATGCTGTCACACGGTGTTCCCTCCAGGAAACTATCTATCTGACTTGCTTGCCAGTATCTCCAACCCATTTAGGTTCCACTCCTCAAATATAATCAGCAATGTGTTAAAACAGAGGCATGCAGACTGTAAGGCGTGGCACTGAAAGAGGCTTATGTACAGACCAAGCAACTCTGTAATCCTTTCATGTAACTCTTCTCACCCCAGGAACCAACTGGAAACTCTGTGGTTATTTCTTTTTTGAAATCATTAGATCTGTAATTATGTAGGACTCGCTCACAATAGCATGTAGCCAGCTTGAAAGCAGAAATGTCACTCCAAAAGCCTTTCAAAACAAATGAAATGCACACCAGGCACCATAGATGGAATACATATAAGAGGGCTGTTTTACCTTCCAATGATTTGTATCTTCGTCCTGCATTTCTGAGATTTACCCAGCTCTGCCATACAGCACATCCCTATCAGGACAGGAAACCTGATGATTTTTCACTGCAGTTATGTAATACCACTAGGCCTAGTCAATGCCCCCTACCTGTGATTGAGAAGCAATAGGCAGATGAGTTTATCAGTCTGTCGCTCTGCTCTCCCTTCCTAAATGAATGCTCGTCAGCCTATGAACATTGCAGCATAACGGCCCTGTGAGCTGCTTTACCTTCTCCCAGTCAGAGTTCTGCAATATGGTGGACTACAGAAGGCAAACCAAGCAAAATCCAGGTCATTAACCGCTTGAGGACCAGGTGTTTAGACCCCTTTCCTGGCCAGGCCATTTTTCAGTATTCAGCGCTGCGGTACTTTGACTGACATTTATTTCTTCATACAACGCTATACTGAAATTAATTTTATACAATTTTGTGGGGACAGATAGAGCTTTCTTTTGGTGGTATTTAATCACCACTGCGGGTTTTATTTTTTACTATAGTTAGGAAAAATTACTGAAAATTTTGAGAAAACTTATTTTTTTACATTGTTGTTTATTATTACGCAGTTTTTTTGTAAAATATAAAAGACGGGGTCACGTCGGGTAAATAGACACCAAAAATGTCAAGCTTTAAAATTGCGTGCACCCGCGAAAATTGGCCATAGGCGACGCTTTAAAAGCTTATCAGTTTAGTGTTATCAGTGATTGATGGCCCTAGAATTATTGCTAAAGCTCGTGTACCTATCTCCCTCTGATCCCGTGACACAGGCAACATGCTGATCCCGGGCTCGCACTGGGCACAGCGGAGCCCGGATCCTTTAACTCCTGAGTTTAGCGTTACTTTAACTTGGACAACAAAAGGTAAACGAAGACTCTAATATTGAATTTCTCTGTTACTGTATACGTCTACAAACAAAACGCAATAGGTTAGGCAGTTGAAATACCATCGATACATTCAGAGCTATAGTTGGTTTGCTACAAAAATTGACAAGCTCTGCAAGGACTTCAATGCATAACCTCCAATTCTAAAAAAAGTCATCAATCTATATTAACCCCTTCGTGACTGACGATGTACAGTGTACGTCGCCAGCATCGGGGCTGTTTAAACAGACTCCCGGTGACTTTTGCCGAGTTTTGTAATATTTCTAGGACAGAAGCAGAAAGGAAGGGAAAATTCTTGCAATAAACATAAACCTAGTGTTTTGCAAAGTTGGAGCTTCATTCTATCATCAAATGTAACCTATAAGGATATCAATGTAAACAGGAATGAGGTGTGGCTGAAAGAAGAGATGGGAGAGCTATATGAAATCTACAAACAAATTGCCTCTATTCTTGGAAATGACAAACTATCAGCTGCTAGCTTTGACACAAGTGCATGTGTTCCAGTAACCTGATCTCTTGTATACTTCCAGAACAGTCATAGTGTGACAGCAGGAAGCAACACTAACTAGACATTAAACCTATGCAAATCAAAGGAAAGACTACTCCTAAAATTGAGACAACCACATTGTCAAACAGTAGGGTCCTCCATAAATAAAAGTAAATGTTTAAAGGGTTATTAAACCCTCACTTTTTTGCATATATCTAGTGCAAGTAAACAGCCGATATATGCAAAAACATTTTTTATAAACCTTTTAAAAAGGTTTTAAATTTACCTGCGTCTTCGCCGCGATCTCCCGCCCGAACATCTGAAGAGTTTCGGGTGGGTGCATGTGCAGTTCAGATGTTCGGCCGGGAGACGAGGAGAGACACAAGGTAAGTCTATGGAGCAGCATGCACCCGCACAGACTCTGTGGGACATAAGAGAAAAGGAGGACAGGGGAGTCAGCGCTGGATTGGAGACCCGCACCAGTCCTGGAGCGACAGTTGAAAAGGACAGAAAAGAAAAAGATGATACAATCAAGAGGCATAATTTAAGGTAAGTCAATACAGCAGGATTGGGAAGGGGGGAAAAAATTCGGAATTCAATGTCACTTTAAGCAACTTTAGTTGAAGTCTCAGGGCCCAATCACATCCATCTGGTCTGCTACGGTGTATTACCTTACCTTGCAATGGGGCAGCCTTTTTTATGGGAATGGGCTACCTACCGCCACATGGGTCCAAAAATCATGTATGTAGCACGTTGCCACAGCGCACTGGTGTTGAATGGTCACTCAGTCTAAATTAACATGTAATCAAAAGGATTACTTTACGCAACACCCATTACCCGGTAATTGGAATCTTTTAAATACATATGTACATGCAAGTGCAAACATTTTATTTCCCCAACTAGTTCAAAAAAAGATTATAGATGTTTGCATGGCTCTACAAGCCTGACAGTGGCCACTTTATTAGGTAAAAGAAACCTACAGTCTGTAAAATATATGTATATTTAGAGTCTGAGAGTCTACCAAGCAAACAATACAAAAAGAATCCCTGGGATTCAACCACATTATTTATTATAGCATCCCATAGTTCAGAAACATTGAAGCATACAACAGCAAATGGGACACCAGGACCTATTTGTTTGGACTTTATTAGGTCCGCATGTCAACACAAAGCCAAGCATTGAGTCCTGAAAGAAAAATGTGTATTATAGCCAAAAGGAGGTGGCTTTAGAATCTGAAAAACAAGTGCAATTCAAAGAAAACATACAGTGAATAGCATTTTCTTGGGGAAAAAAGACCTTGTTAAGAAGAGGAACAAGGCCAGACATTGTCAAGCTGACATAAGGCTACGACTACTCTTGACAATGGTGGTAGGAAAAAAAAAAATCTCTGCCAACAAGTCAAACCTTAAAGATGGTGATTTACAACAGTCTAAGAGGATTGCCAATTCCACTCTTGTCAGCCAAGAACATAAAAATGAGGTTACAGCGGGCACTGCATGACCACAACTGGATGACTGAAGGCTGGAAAAACCTTGTTTGCTTTGAAAATCTCAATTTCTGCCGCAGCATGAGAGGTGAAATGGTAAATAATTCTGCATTCACAGCTTGAATCCATGGATCCATCCCAACGTATGTCAATGGTTCAGGTTGTTGAGAGTAACGATATTGAGTCAGCATAGACCTAAATCTGTATGTCCTAGCTCTCACCAGATGATTTGTAAGGCCCCATGCGTTGAACACAGGAGTTATGTGGGAAGCATAAACAAATGTAGTTTGCTGTATTGTCCCCTGCATGCTCAGTAGTGTCAATAAAAATGAAATTATAATTTACTTATAGTGCTCTACAAAACCAAATACTCTTTTGCGAAAGCTTAGTTCAACTTGACCATTGCAAGGAGACCCTCAGCAATGCAAAAGGTTAAATGCTCCTTATTCCTCACTCCCGCAGGCTTCCTCCTCTTTGCAAGACGAGCCCCCCCAAAGCTGTTCTTTTTGCTGCTGGACCAGGCCAGTGATCCGACATTGTATGGGAGGACACTGAAGGCCTGCCTACATGCTGAAAGTGTTGGACAGTGGAGGAGATCTCTGACTGCTGGGGGAGCAAGGAATAGAGCAATTCAAATTTACCTTATTCCACCATCTCCCAGACAAAATAAGCATTCAAACCCTGCAGTGCAGAGGGGGGCTTATCACAAGGGTCATTTTTATACCAGCCCAGGGTTCAGCCGTGATGAAAACCTGAACATTTGGAAATGCTGGATTTAATAAATCAATTAAAGTAAGTAACGTGTAATAAGTGCACGCTCTTCATTTTGCACAGTTGTAGCATTTTGAAGAAAAAGTCTGATTTGACTTGCAGTCAGGACTAACTCTTTAAGATACTGTATATTGACTGTTCCAACCAAACATGACGTAATCGAGCTCTGCTCAAATTAGCAGAACAGTTTGGTATGTTGAAATACGCAGTGGCAGCATCAATGTGGGCTTACAACTCAGGAAGAGGAAATACGGTTGTAAGCATTCTACTTCTTGTATTATAAAAAAATAAAATTTAAATACTAATAGGATTCACCAAAAATACTTGGACAGTTTATATTAAAAAGGTGTGTGCGTGTATGTATGTATGTATGTATGTATGTATGTATGTATGTACATACATACAGTCAAGCAAAACAAATGGCAAAACGCACTCATCAATTTGTTACTAGCTTTACAGCAAGGTGCACATGGAAGGGCTTTAAACAGTAACGGCAAAAAGTTTCCCAGTACACTCACCAGCCAGCATGCAAAAAAAACTGTTTAAAACCCTTCCATGTGCACCTTGCTGTAAAGCTGGTAACAAATTGATGAGTGCGTTTGACATTTGTTTTGCTTGACTGTTTGTGTTTGTATATGTATATGTATATGTATATGTATATGTATATATGTGTGTATATATATATATATATACACACACACACACATATACATACATACACACTTGACTGATTTGGTCCAGTGACGCATGGGGGGGTCTCAGCTGCCATTGTGATGTGCGGGGTCCCTTGTGCGTACCTGTGCCTTTAAGGGAGGTTGGGCTTCCTCCTGACAAACCTGCACCCAATTTTATCTCTTGCTACATGTGCTCCAAGATGGAGACTCTCATAGGTTAGAGTTAGGACCGCACTATACGGAGGTGCCTTGGCGCGGCTTTTTTTACATTTTCTGCACAAGACGTGTATCTAAACCTCTGTTTTTAACCTCAGCGGTGAGACAAGTTTTTTTGCATGCTGGCTGGTGAGTGTACTGGGAAACCTTTTGCTATATATGTATGAACAGTCTTTGTTCTGAGGTGGGTGGACGCTTAGGAGTTAGATATTTTCATACTTGGAGCAAAAAAAAGATGTTGTTTGGACATTAAAAATACATGCAGGGTGGAGTAACCGCTATAAATTCCATTTCTAATTTGTTCTATACTACATCTAATTCAATGTTGCACTCTTTGTGTGGTCATGCAGTCCTCTGGACATTACAGAGATAATAATCTTGTACACAGTTAGAAACTGAAACCACATTTCTGTGTAGTTGTGCGGCACATAAAGTTGTGCTGGGTGTGAAGAGAGCTGAGAGAAAACATTGGCTGAGTATCTGAAGCAACAGTGAAAATTAGATCACACCCAATACCATTCACATTTCATTCTAGTTTGCCAGAGTTTAATGTGTCACTCCACCTATGTGTAACTATTCAGTCATAAATGCCGGATATGTACTCTCCTTTTTAATCAGTAAAGGAGTGCGTGTCACTTATTTGTACCAGGCAGGAATTACAGAAATGCTGTACTGTATAATCTATAATCTGTCCTGCTCCGGTATACCTTGTGCTGCATGATCTATAATCTGCTCTGCTCCGGAATACCTTGTGCTGCATGATCTATAATCTGCCTTGCTCCGGTATACCTTGTGCTGCATGATCTGCTCCATTTTGTATAAATCCCCCCATTGTGCTGTATGATTAATAATATGCTCTGTTTCGATATACTGTACTTTGTACTGCATGATACATAATATTCCTTGCTTGTATATACATTGGGGGGAATTTATCAAAACTGGAGCAGAGAAAATCTGAAGCAGCTGTGCATGGCAACCAATCAACTTCTCTCTTCAGTTTGTTCAGTTGAGATTTGAAAATGAAAAGGGAGAAGCTGATTGGTTGTCATGCACAGCTGCTCCAGATTTGTACGATAATAGGGTTAATAGTGCAGTGTAGTACACTTAGTATATAAATGGGGTAGGGTGCATTACATAACATCCTGCACAATGTATATTGGAGCAAACTGTGATGTACCTCAATGTCCTGATTTATAGAGCTGTACATTATATTAACAGCTGTACTCCTCTATAATCTGCCCTGCTCCAACATACAAGGTGTGACAATTTAAATCCCGGAATGCCCAGAGCGCAGCACTATGATGGCGAGTCACACCATCATTCGCACTCGAGCGTGTCCTGGCATGTTCTAACTTGCATGCGCCTGGGTCGCCGACCAGTTGACTCAGTCCTTACGCAGTAGTAGAAGAAATAACATGTCTGCGTTGTGCTGTTGGCAGAAAATGAGTGAGAGGAATCTGGTGCAGCGGATTAACAAAATTATGAGTGAAAATGAGCAAAAGAGCGAGTGAAACTTTAGCTCTGTTAAAATGAGCTTATGGTGAATATTCCATGAAGAAATCAAGTGTTTTTGAATGGCATAGAGGGTTTAAGGAGGCGTGGGAAGATGTCCATGCAGACCGGAACTCTGGCATGATAAGTAGATTCTCCACCACGACAATCCTCCTCCACATGATCATGCGATAAGTGTTCGACAGTTCCAGGCCCCGAAATCCATTCCAAAACTTGACCAACCACCTTATTCCCCTGATTTAGCACCCTGCAAGTTTTGGCTTAAATGCCTTAAAAAAAAGGACAGATTTGATGACATTCTGGACATCCAGCGTGCCGCGAAAGTGGCAGCACAGTGGCGTAATGGCTGGCGCTTCAGCCTTGCCGGCCAGGTCACTCACTATCTGCAAGGAATTTGCATGTTCTTCAAGTGCTTGCGCGGGTTTCCTCCGGGTACTCCCCATTTCTTCCCACACTCCAAAGACATGCCAGAAGGTAAATTAGCTCCTTTCTAAATTGTCCTTATATGTATACGAGATAGGGACCTTAGATTGTAAGCTCCTTGAGGGCAGGGACTGATGTGAATGTATAACTATGTAAAGCACTGCGTAAATTGTCAGCGCTATACAAATACCAATAATACATACTGTGCAGCATTCCGGAAAAATAACTCTAGGTATGTTTCGCCAGTGGCACAGTCGTCTAGAAAAGTGCGTCACTTCACAAGGGGACTACGCTGAAGTGTATAGGGAAGCACAGCTTTTGTATAGGGAAGCAAACTTATTTATTTTTTTCAGTCCATTCCAGGAAATTGTCTCACCTCATACACTGTATATACATTCTATAATCTATCAAATCACTCTCAATGTCTGGATTTCTCTTGGGCCCAAAAAAGCACACCTTTCCTACTATATTTTTAATTGTAAAGTGTATGTGGGTAAAGAGTTACTGAAGATATACATCTTTAAAAGGATAAGTTCACCTTTTGCAAAAATGAAAGAAATGCATATTTAATAATATATATTAAAAAAAATATGCATTTAAAAAAAAAATATCTGCATTCAAGCCTGGAAAGCGTTGCAATCGTGATCACTCGATCACAGCTGCAAAGCTCAGGCTTCTGCACATTTTCAAACTGGCAGAGCTCATAGAGGGGGGAAGGATGGCTGGACTTCAAACTGCATTAAATCATCTCATACGTCGTCCTCGCTCTAGGTAAAGCTGCCCATATTACCGCATCTACCTAGAGATTTTTTTTGAAAAAAATCCCTTCATTGTGCTATACGATAATAGGGTTAATAGTGCAGTGTAGTACACTTTAGTATATAAGGGAGGGAGGACTCCTAGAGGCTCCCTAGAGGGAGGATGGCTGGGCGCCGAAGGAGGTGATTTAATGCAGTTTAAAGTCCAACCGTCATTACCCCTCACCTCTCCTAACAAACTCCGTACCTCAGTATGAGCTCTGCCAAATTTGAAAATGTGCAGATTAAGCCTGAGCTTTGTAGCCGTGATCGAGTGATCAGAGTTGCATTGCTTTTCACTCTTGAATGCAAATATTAAAGGAAATGCATATTTTTATATATGGATTATGCATTTCTTTATTTTTTGCAAAAGGTGAACTTATCCTTTAAAAAACAAGTTAAAAAAAAGGCATGGTCATGTGACTGCTCAGCTCAGTTCGGGTTCTTCTCTGATCCCTGGTGGTGGGCGGGAACAGTGGTGCTCAGCGCTGTTATGTCATTAAAGGGCGAGGGTGAGAAGGAGTGGTCATAGTGTCTGGAACTACAAGGGGGAATCAAACTGTCAGAGCCAGGGACAGGAAGCTGCTGCATAATTTTGACAAGGAAGTCAATCATTGCAAACATGCAGAGGACCATTAAAGGAGACGGAATAGGGGATTGCAGTGAGGCTCTACTCTGTTATAACAGACAACTAATAAATACAAAATTGGGGTTCCACGTTGACAGCCTGCGCAGACATAAGTGTACAAAACAGATAATGATCTACTTGATTACTACGCCTGTCCAAATATCACATCGTAGGTTGCACTTTAAATGTAGATATCTGACCAGCAGGTTCAAACTGCAATATGAGGTGACCACACTTTGAATGTTCTGTGTTTTTACATTAACAAAAATGCAGAAAAACTTTCCTTTTCCACAGAAAATAAATATATTCCTAGCAGGAGCAAAAGGGTTAAACATCAAAACTCCAGCTGTTACAACAATCCACAGCCATTTCTAACTGGTGTTGTAAATTCTGAATCATCTTTTTCATAGGAAACTAGAAAAACTATGAGAAATGTCCTGTGTTCAACCCTCCCAAAAAACCTGGCGAACAAAAAGCAGAGGGCGGTGTGTGAGCAACAGGACAGAGGCGTCAACAAGAGTCTGTTGAGGGATATAAAAGCCGGTACGGCAAGGTGCACACACTTCTACATTACACAGCGTTGAAGCCGTCAGAAAGGCCTTACTGTCTGCAGGGTATTCACCTTGTCCCTGAGCTCCCACACCCACTGCAATGGCTACAACGTTCATAACACACCCATACATTATCTAAAAAGGAAAAAACAGAAAACATGGCATGCAATGCACACATGGAGGGGGCTGGATGTAAAACCTTGCATTGAAACATGCTTATAACTTCCGTAGACAGTGCTCTCTGCTAATGACCTTTCGTACACCTCCCGGGTGGCTGTGAAAGATGAAACATCGAATGAATTGGAATATTTACCTTTCAGTGAATCATTTTCTGCTCTCATTATGTCAATCAGGGAGCTTTCCAGTGAATGCATGTCGAATGTTCTAGTGCGATCCTGGAAAAAAAGACAGACATTCACTCAATCAAAACATAATTTTGAACAACATTAGAACACTGCGGATAATCAAGATACACTTCCAAATATACAATGGAAAAGCAAGCAAGCAAGTTAAAAGGGGACCACTCAGCATTCTATATATCCAAAACACTAATATAAGATAAGCTAGAAATGTTGTGGTTAATAAAAGTATAAAAAGGATATATTTTGTTTAATGGGAACAGTTATATAGTTTTTTTTCCCCCTTTGTGAAAAGGCGCCCTTCTACATTAGCATATTAAAATGGAGTAGTGCTAGAAATAAACCTAGTTCTCGTGATGCAAGGAAACCCTTCATGTATTTAAACGGGTTAGCCTTAATCAGAGGTAGGCAACCTCGGCACGCCTGTTGTTGTGGAACTACCCATTAGGCATTGCAAGACAATGACAGCCCGTGACAGCAAACTAGCTGCTCTGCATTTGCACTAATTATGGGTAAATTGTTGACCGGCTCACCATACTGGAATTCGTGTATCCTTGTCACAAGTCAAGTCACACCTGGGCTGTGCCTGCGGCTTTAAGTAGCAGCTTGGTGACATCAATTACAGTGCGCGACAAGGGTCATAGTGTTCATAATCATGAGCAATTCCTACGATTGTACATGGCCCATAAAATGCAGTTACTCTGTAAAGCAGATCCACACTCTGAGGGACATGAAGGCTGTCACTGATCGTCCTAAATGGAAATTTAGGTTGCTTGGCTGTCTCGGTCTTCACTTTGAGACATCAGCATGCAAAGCATGAAAGTCAGAAATCCTCATCTTGATACTTGTTCGAGGTCAGAGACAAATCAAAATAAAAGCACTGGATAAACATGACAGCATGGGAACTTGTATATTCATACAGGAAGGTCAACAATGGCAGCCGGCATACTTCCTCATATACAGATGTCCACCTTGCCTGGATGTGAAGCATACTATTAAAAAGGAGAAGTATTGGGACAGTAAAATGTCACACTGGCACTATAGATTGAGAACTGAGCACTCACAAACCACTAATTGCTTAGCTCATGACTTCTACCTGCAGATAGCAGGGACTGTTAGTCATTAGTCTCCGCAGGGATCCCCCCTCCTCCTCTCCCTTTTCCTCCAGAGCTCATTGGAGGGACAGGCAGGGGCAGGCACAGCTGGCTCTACAGAGTTAGAGCTAGCTGTCAATCAGCACGGCACTGAGCTGTCAAGAAATAGCAGACAATAGTCCGCTGTATGCTGACTTTGGGTCACAGGAGTCCATTGGTAAATATAATCCTGTGACCCAAAAAAGGTTGGGCTTTAGTTCTCTTTTAATAAAGACCAGCTCAATCTACTAAGCAATAACACTGAACAGGCTTTAGCAGTACAACTGAATAACCCAGTAGCACTTCCACATCTTAAACTGGCTACTATAACCCCAGGGGGCTTTTTGAATGTGTTACTTAACTTCCTGATAGTATTAAAGACAGAATCCTGTGCACTGGCAGCTCTGGGACTCTGAAGCGGGCCGAGAGCAGCAGAACAGAAAATTCAGTAAGCAATAAAAAAAAAAAAAAAAAAAAAATGAGATGTGACCATTCAGGCTCTCCTCCAATCATCCGCTCTCTCTGCTCCTACACTTCCAGTTGAGTCTGCCGTCCTAAATAAAAAACTAGGAATGCACCGATACTTTTCGGATACTTGGCATTTTCATGAGAACTACCAGTGTTGCAGCTGGGACCTGGCTCTGGTGCTCCACCACTAACCTGAAATCATTAGTCTCTATTGTTTTAGAAAAACTGTCACATGACAATAAACAAAAATGTATCAGTACTCGTATCTGCGAGTACTTGGGCAAGCATCAGTACTTGTAAAAATGGTATCGGTGCATCCCTTTAGTTATAAAAACAAAATCATACATTAAAACAGAGATGTACAAATCCCAGGTGCTCCTTAGATGACAGCTGCCTCCTTACTTGAATTTTTCTCTAGTCTTGGAAATTTCTAAGGGTGGGTTTTCTGATGGTGACAATGCGGAACATGACTAGTTTCCATACGTAACAGGGTGGCAACACAAAAAAGCAACTGGGAGATGGGGACAGAGCATTGTCATCCTATGCCAGGCAATGCCTAAAACGAGGGCTTGCAGGGCAGGATCACTGGATATTATTTTAATGAAAGCTGCAGATTTAAAAATGTAAAAATTACTTTCCAAATGACAACAACATGGTGACCCTTTTGGCAGGGACAGCTCTGTCACTATCCTGGGGGCATGAATGTGAGTGCGTTCTCAGCACAGTACAGCAGGCCAGCCAATGCATATCTAGGGCTGCAACCAACTAAAATCGATGAGAATAGTGGTCAACTATTCTCATTATCGATTAGTTGGTTGGATCCCCTACCTCTCTCCTCCATGCTGGGCTCCTCAAGCAGTGGGCAGTTGCAATAGCCAGCCTGATATTGACTATTGCAATTTGAAATGACCAATAACAAGCTGGCTATTGCACCAGCCCACTACCTCCTGTATTTACATTCAGCTGCCGTCTGCGGAATCTTGCCACTGGCAGCTGTCATTTTCTGGCTGAAGATATTCAAGCCCCATGTGCTCACAATACAATTAAATAAAAAAATATAAAAAAAAAAAAAATGGTGGAAAAAAAAAAAAAGAAGTCATTTTCGGTTTCAGGCTGACAAATTCTGCTAAGGAAGGTGTCATTGCAGTGCCATTTATTTAAATGACACCCCAAACGTGCCTCCCACCCGCAGTGTGATCGCCCACACTGGAGTGCACGGTACCGCAATGCCGTGCGATTGCAAAAAATTGTGCATGCAGTTTTATTCTGAAGTAAACTTTGTAACACTGCATTTGTGTATTTTATTTTAAAATTATTTTTTATCCGAACGAAAAAGTGCAAATTACTTCAGTTTGGCAAAGCAATTCACACTGGGATTGCCTTGTCATCAGCAGAGCATTGCTGGGAAATCTCATCTGTCATCTCATGAGATCTCAGGGAAAGGCATTTTGCTCCCCTGAGATGATGTGTATGGTCACATGTCCTAGTCACATTTGCCAGAAATCCAGGAAGTCATTGGAGAGCTAGTAATCTGCCCTTAGATAAAATGGCCACTGACTGGGGAAGAAAAAAGAAATAAGGTATGCAAAGAATACAAAGCCGGCAATTATCTAGAAGTACGTGTTTGTAGATTGTCATTACTAAACATTTCTAAAGGTGTGTGTTATTTTACAGATCTGAGTAGAGGTCCTCTTTTAAGCTCATGCAAGGTGTTAGCAATTGGGTTTACATCTACTTTAAAATGGAACAGTTATACTTTACCAGCAAGATTCCAATATGTAAATGTAATCATGAGACTTGCTGCAGCCTCTGAATTCCTCCTGCTAATATATGTACGTGTTTGTGCTCTGGGTTTATAAATCCCCTCGGCTGCCATGTCATCCTGAGTGACAGCAGGCTCAGGTGAGCATGCTAGTTCATGTGATCACTTAGTCAGTCAAGAAGGAGATATCCCATCCTAAGAGGGATAGAATCAGCGTTGATTCATCAGCTAGCAAAAATCGAATTGACTCAATGAAAAATGTATTCTTTTCTGATGCATAAAGATTACTGAGCATCAATATGCCAAATTCTTTATTTCTAGCCCACAAACATTTCAGCTCATTCCAGTGCTAGTCAAAAAAACCTGGACCATCGCGTTATATTTTTTTAATGTAAAAATAAGAAAATGACAGTCACCTACACACACAAGGTACCCCAATATTACAAATCTGCTTCATACATAAGCACAATGTTGTCAGACAGATTGTATTTCTTGACACTGGCCCAAATAGAAGGAAGGAGCATAAAAAAAAAAAAAAAAAGGACTTGGATTTATTTAAAAAAATTCAAAGAGCCCCCCTCTGCGGATTTATTATACCTTGGAGATACTTAAAGCATGCAGGCAGCGCATTGGTGCAAGGCTGGGTTGACACCTAGGAGTATCGAATATGCGCGTTTGTCGTGCGTTTCGTAACGTGCGTTTTTACGGCGATTCGCTACCTGGCTGTATCCCAAAGGATACGCGCGACAAAAACGCCCCAAAGAAGCTCCTGTACTTCTTTGGGCGTAGGGCGTTTTGTAGCGCGTTCATACGGCCTGTAATACGCCCCGGTGTGAACCATACCCATAGGACATAATGGGATTTCGGTGTTTGAGCGTTTTGCAGAGAGTGTAGGAACGTGCTACAAAACGCCCAGGTGTGAACCGGGCCTAATGGTTAGCACTTCTACCTGGCAGCACTGGGGGTTCCTGGTTCGAATCCCAGCCAGGATGCTGAGTTTGCATGTTCTCCTTGTGCTTGCGTGAGTTTCCTCCGGGTACTGCAGTGTCCTCCCACACACCAAAAACATGTACAGGCAAATTGGCCCTATATGCATGTATATTATTAGGTACTGTAGATTGTAAGCTTCTTTAGGGCAGGGACTGATGGGAATGTGTGTGTGGAAAACTGTCAGTGCTATATAAATACATGTAATAAAATATAGATCAAGACAAAAAAACTTATTTTTCTAGTTTTGTATATAGAGTAGGAAGCGTTGAAAACAACTCAAAAAAAGGTATTTATTGCTCTCTCCAACCCTCACAGTTCCTGTTTGGTCACCAGGATAGGAAGTTACTTACACAATTCCTCCATGCACACGTGGATGGAGGAATCTACCCTGCCAGCAATTTCTGATAGATTGCACGCAGTCAGAATACCTGAACGGTGACTGTTGCCAATTGGCTGATAATTTTCCTTCCGACTTCTTGGACAAAAGTCGATTGGAAAATTAACTTATCAAGCTGGGTGGTTCCCGGCAGGGCCACCTACGGCTAAAGTTTCAGGCAGTTCAGCAGGAAGCAGACAAAATTTGATTGCCCTTTTTTTTTCCCTTTACTATGTTGGAGAATCAAACCAGCAAAGGGACTGGGACTGTTCTCTTAGGCCCGGTTCACACCTCGGCAGTGTAAAAG